CCAATTATGTAAGTTATTATGTAAGTGGTTTGTACGTTATGTTTGGGGGCTGAAATGGATAATCTACTTCAAAATATTCCTTATGGGAAAAAATTTCCCGTCAGTATGGCACCTGAACTACTTTGGAGTAAAAAAAATATCTTTAACCGGGGGTCCACTGTATTGCAAAATATTTAGTAAAAGGGGCCAGATGAATGAAAAAAAATTAAATTGTGTAAAAAATTAAAAAGGAAACTTAACTTTGAGTGATTAATGTATTTCCCTGAAGCACTCTCAAACCCCAACTTTTAAAGTTGTCTTACTTAGCTCTAACTTATAAATCACACTACTTTCTTAATAAAAAAAAACTAAATACAACATGAAGTTCAACGATGAGAAATTTCAATTACTCAGATATGGTAACACAGGAAATTAAATCTTCATCAGAATACAAAACAAATTCTGGCCACAAAATGAGCGAAACACCAACGCCAAGACCTGGGAGTGATCACGTTGGAGGATCTCACTTCAAGGACCATAACATTGTATCAATCGCATCTGCTAGAAAAATGACAGGATGGATAATGAGAACCTTCAAAACTAGGGGGCCAAGCCCATGATGAAAATTTCAGGTCACTTGTTCTATCTAGGCTGGAATATTGCTGCACACTAACAGCACCTTTCAAGGCAGGTGAAATTGCTGACCTAAGAAAAGTACAGAGAACCTTCACGGCGCGCATAACGGAGATAAACACCTCAATTACTGGGAGCGCTTGAGGTTCCTGAACCTGTATTCCCTGGAACGCAGGCGGGAGAGATACATGATTATATACACCTGGAAAAATCCTAGAGGGACTAGTACCGAACTTGCACACAAAAATCACTCACTACGAAAGCAAAAGACTTGGCAGACGATGCCAACATCCCCCCAATGAAAAGCGGGGGTGTCACTACACTTTAAAGAGACCATACAATAAGTGTCAGGGCCTGAGACTGTTCAACTCCCTCCCGCATACATAAGGGGATTACCAACAGACCCCTGGCAGTCTTCAAGCTGGCACTGGACAAGCACCTCAAGTCGGTTTCCTGACCACCGGGCTGTGGCTCGTACGTTGGTTTGCATGCAGCCAGCAGAAAACAGCTGGTTGATCGGGCTCTGATCCACCAGGAGCCTGGTCACGGACCGGGCCGCGGGGGCGTTGACCCCCGGAACCCCTCTCCGGGTAAACTCCAGGTAATACCAGCTGTATCCCACTGAGGAAGGGTGACCTAAAAAGAAAAATGAAAATTTTTCTTTGCACATTTAGTAATTTAACAGGAGAAAGGGTTACTAACCCAAGCTCTTGGGATTTAGTCGCCTCTTACAACTAGCATGGGATACGGAGGAAGAATTCTTCTCCGCTTCCTCATGGAGATTTTTATTAAAAACCTCCAATTATTATCAAATCATTACCTCCCTATCTGCTCTTTAATTTTTGATGTGTCATTTTCATTTAATTAAATATTGCTCTTTAGTTTATTTCACTAAATGCTTAACTTTCATTAAAATTATGTTGCAATATGAAATTTCATCCATGCATGCTGTAAGAGGTGACATAATGCCGTGAGCAACGGGCTAGTAACCAGTGGCCCAGCTGACTCTGTGGTTAATGCGTCTGTCTGGAGTTTTTCAGTTGTACTCCTCCTGTACACATTACTATATGTAAAATGAGAAACTTTCATTTTTCTTGACTCACAAAATCGTAATGACACGATTGCAAACAAAAACCCTACCACGGGCGAGGTTAGAACCCACGATCAGAGTTTTGAGACTCTTTTGGTCACGGGTCTAACCCCCCGTGGGATAGTTTCATTTTTCTTTTTGGGCCACCCTGCCTCGGGGATATGACCATTTGTTGAAAGAAAAATAAATTTTATATTGTACAGTGGAACCCCAAATATCGAGCTTTCTTCGGTCCAGAAGGCTGTTCGAGTGCTTTTACCGAATGAATTTATTCCCATCAGGAATAATGTAAATTAGATTCGTCCATTTCAGACCTCAAAAAAAACACTTATAAAAGCACTTAAAAAAAATACATTCATAATTGGTCGTGTTGGGAGCAGTTCGACTTTTGAGGTTCCACTGTTTTTAGTATATTCTACCTTGATTACATAGTCCAATGTATCTTTTTATTTTTATACTGCTGGTATTAGTTTGCCAAATGCACTGTATAATTAGTGATTTTTTTGTGACTAGTAATGCTATATTACCGTAAACTACATTATTTGTACGATAAAAAAAATTAAAATCGTAGTGTATAAGTCCTAGCTAGAGACTACCTAAAAGCTATAGTAACAATTAGCTTTTTCCCCGAAAGATATATTCAAATTCAAAAAATTCAAATTCAAAGTTTTTATTTTTTTGTGCAGTGTACAAACTGTAGTTTACGTGTAATAAAGTATTGTTAATGACAAAGGAAGCCACTACCATGCCTGAGCATATACAATACTCTTAAAATACTACTCTAACAATGTACAGTGGACTCCCGGTTTACGATATTATTTCATTCCAGAAGTATGTTCAGGTGCCAGTACTGACCAAATTTGTTCCCATAAGGAATATTGTGAATTAGATTAGTCCATTTCAGACCCCCAAACATACACATACAAACGCACTTACATAAATACACTTACATAATTGGTCGCATTGGGAGCTGATCGTAAACCAGGGGTCCACTGTATTGTCTTAGGAAATAAAGTTATATGTATATCTTCTTTATATATATTTCTGATTTTTTAAAGTAATATCAGTTTTCATGGGAGACAGAGAAGGGGGATTCTGGTTTTCAGGAAACATAGAAAAACATCTGACACAGGTTGCAGCCATATGACTTGCTCGGTGAAGCTACTGATTAATAATGATGATGATAATACATAAATAACCCACACATAGGAAAGAGAAGCTTACGACAATGTTCTGGTCCAACTTGGACCATGTAATAGTCCATTTACTTGGATCATGTAATGGTCCATTTACCTGGACCATGTAATGGTCCATGTAAATGGTCCAAGCTGGACCAAAATGTCATCATAAGCTTCTATCTCTCATATGTGTATTGTGCCTTTTTGTTCTTCAGTAATAATTTTGTTTCAGCATAATACAATGTTTGTAAAGAGATGGGTGACTTAGTTCATGAAAAAAGCCCATCATCATGCAGAGCATTTTGGGAAAACTTGACCAAGGTCTTCTGCTGGCCTATAAGTTGACTCCATAAGTACTTGACATCCCATCAATAAATTAGAAAGAAGTACTGAAAAAACTTTGAGAAAGTTAGTAAAACTTACAGGCACAAAAGTAGTTCCCCAGTGATTATGTCTTCGCCAAAATTAACCTTCGTACTTGGTGAGGAAGTATCATTCTTCATTGACACTATCTCATCAAACATATTTTTTTCTTCATCTGTGAATGGTGATTTTTTGGAGTGGTTCAACGCTGTAATTTTAGATATTGCTCTGACTGCAGCATTGAGGTAACCAAGACAGCGGCCTTTGGAAATGCCATCTTCTCTACATACGACTCCCAAAATCTCTCGGATGACCCCTGACACACCCCGTCCTGAGTCCAACACGATATTATCATCTTCGTTATCATGACGTCCTGAAAATGAAGAGTATATACTCAGATAAAAGTTAAATTAAGTTCCTAAAAAGAATATTGGCACTGAAATTCAAAATGAGTACTAGGCAATTAACTATGCCATAATTTACCATAAGCTTTCTTGGTGATAAAATGAAGTCATTCGGTCAACAGAATACAAGAATTCAATATACATTATACATATAAATCAGATAAAAATGTAACAGAATTTTATAGCTTTACTGATAAACATTATATGAGAAGGGGATAAACTGTACTAAATGCTTCCCTGTCTACATCATCCTAGGAAAGAATGAGGGAGAGCTGAGAGAGGTTTTGTGTGCAAGGGGATTGAACACACAGCAGGCATGTGTGAGCATGTTAGATAGGAGTCGAGACGAATGATTTTTGGAACTTGACGAGCTGTTGGAGTATGAGCAAGTAATATTTTGTGATGGGATGCAGGGAAACTGGTTAGTTGGACTTGAGTCCTGGAGGTAGAAAGTACAATGCCTGTAATTTAAAGGAGAGGTTTGGTATATTGGCCATTTGGAGTGACATCTAAACTGTGGTATCTGCAAACCTTTGCAAGACAGTGATAGTATGAATGATGGTAAAAGTGTTTCTTTTTTTGGTAAGGGGTCGCACTGCCTCGGTGGAAGGTGGCCAGCGTGTTGAAAAAAAATATGTATACATGTATAAAAAAATAAATAAAATAAATAAATAAATAAATAAATATATATATTATATATATATATATATATATATATATATATATATATATAAAATATATATATATATATATATTATATATATAGATATATATAATATATATATATATTATATATATATATATATATATATATATATATATAATATATTATATATATATATATATATATATATATATATATATATAATATATATATACACAGTATATACTAGGTAGTAATCAATGGGTAGTAGGTGCATAATTAATCCATTCTGCAGTGGGTACCTGAGTAGTAGGTGAAATTTAAGCTATTCTGCAGTGGGTACCTGAGTAGTAGGTGCATATTTAACCATTCTGCAGTGGGTACTTGAGTAGTAGGTGAATATTTAAGCTATTATGTATTGGGAACCTAGGTAGTAATCAGTGGGAAGTAGGTGGGTATTTAAGTCATTCTGCAGTGGACACCTGTGTATTTGAACCATTCTACAGTGAATACCTGGGTAGTAATCAGTGGGTAGCAAGTGTATATTTTAACCTTTCTACAGTGGGTACCTGGGTAGTAGTCAGTGGGTAGCAAGTGCGTATTTAAACCATTCTACAGTGGATGTTGCGTAAACATAATGTAGATAAATATAGATTATTATGAAACCTGCTTACCATCATCAAGATACCTAATTACCACGATGCTAAGTACATTGATTACTTATGTCCCACTGTCACTTAGGTGGTAAATTACACAGATATACGAATACAATGGACATAACCAGATGGGCGTAGCACCAAGTGTAAGAATAAATGGGGTAGTTATACTGGCACGCCCACACCCACACCCACGCCCACACACGCCCCGAAGGTTCATTCAGCCATGGGATACCCCAGGGTATGGCAAGACGAGAGACTCACTCACTTCTCAAGGATCTCCCAGCACGTCTTGCTCTACCCGAGTACATCTTCGCGTGGCCATTACGAACTGACGTTGATAGTATTAGTGGGGCTTCTCACCCCCTGTGTGTACCCACATTCCTGCCATTTTCTCCCTTCACACGCCTCGGATCACACCCATTTTACTCTTATAACCTGCCCCTGGTGTCCTGCTTCATGTGGGTGCATATTGGGTGTGATTTAGTCCAGGTGGAGCTGAGATATATGGAAGTTAAGAAACACTATGAATAGCTGAAGAAAACTTTGAGGGGTAACTTAAGTTTTTCTCTGGGAGTCGCTGGCTTGTGTATAATTTAATAATAATATAATATTTTTATTTACTACCAGTACATGTGCAAGGTATACAGACCATAGTTGACATCAGTAACATACTACTATATAGAAAGCTGCTTGTTATGTAGAACATTTCCCGCAAATTAGGTCAGTTTTGTCCCAGGATGCGACCCACACCAGTCCACTAACACCCAGGATGTGACCCACACCAGTCCACTAACACCCAGGATGCGACCCACACCAGTCCACTAACACCCAGGATGTGACCCACACCAGTCCACTAACACCCAGGATGCGACCCACACCAGTCCACTAACATCCAGGATGCGACCCACACCAGTCCACTAACACCCAGGATGTGACCCACACCAGTCCACTAACACCAGGATGTGACCCACACCAGTCCACTAACACCCAGGATGCGACCCACACCAGTCCACTAACACCCAGTTACCTATTTGCTGCTAGGTGAACAGGACAATAGGTGTAAGGAAACAGTGTCGAAATGTTTCCACCCGCCGGAATCGAACCCGGGCCCTCCGTGTGTGAAGCGGGAGCTTACAGGAGCGCCACGAGTACACTGAGACAACACAGTAAGTGTCCGGGGCCCAAGACTGTTCAATTGCCTCCCAGCATACATAGGGGGATACCAATAGACCCCTGGCTGTCTTCAAGAAGGCCACTGACAAGCCACCTAAAATCAGTACCTAACCAGCCGGTGTGGTTCGTACGTTGGGTTGCGTGAGACCAGCAATGACAGCCTGGTTGATCAGACCCTGATCCACCACAAGGCCTGGTCTCAGACCGGACCGCGGGGGCGTTGACCCCCGAAACCCTCCCAGGTACACTCCAGACGTCCTTCAATTTCCAATGAGGTTCTGGACTCCTAAAACTAAGGACCCAGGATATAAAATAACCGAAATGTTTTTCCCGTGAGAAATACACTAACCTACAAGACTGTATGACCCTTGGGGTTTAGCACTTAATTAATAATACAATATACAATAAGCTCTCTTTTAAAGCTACCATATATAACAGTGCATTTTTTGTAACTGCGGCTGGTAAAACGTCCAAAATTAAATAATTCTTGAAAAACCCTACACAGTGTTTTAAATCATAGATGGACTTTTCAATTCCATTTACAAACTTTCACACTATATATATGAGCTTATAAGAAAGCTTATGGTACACCTCTCTATGTATATATCGTATGTGTCTATAAGATTGGTGAGTTAACATTTAAGCGGCTACAAGGGAGAATTTGAGTCAACAATACTAGTATGTGTCAATGTATATTCAAAAATCGCGAACAAGCGATGCAAGATGGAAAACAAACCCCGGGGGAAGTTGAATGATAGTTCTAGGTCTTCGTGTTGCAATCAATACCTCATCAGGAGCTTGCAGTGTTGCAGAAAAGAGGATGTCCAATACGATCACAGAAAGTGCCTTTGGAACTACTCCTCTTTTCAACATCACAAGCTCCTGATGACGTGTTGATTGCAACACGAAAGAACTAGAGCTATCATCACATTCCCTGTGGTTGTTTTGCATGTATATGTTTTGAGTCTACTGTAATTGCTGTTGTTAGGATTAAAGTATTCGTGACTGCAGCTTTATTGACCCCGTGGGGTTGTTAGGCTTTAAAATTAACCAAGCAACTTTATGGAGAAATCCACTGTAACTTGGTCAACTATCAAAACTTTGGGGGTCCAGTCTCTGGAACCATTATGTATATCTGTAATCCTTTGACTACCGCCCACAGGATGGGTATGGGATGTTAAATGGGCGTAAAACCTTGGCAACCAGGGGGATAAAAGGTAATAAACGCTTGTAACAGTCTCATGGGTTTTTCAAAGATAATGAGGCAAGTCAAATGGCAGGCCACCACTCGCCCAAATCAAAAGTTATTAAACCACCAATAAGATACAAAAAACATTACATTTTTGGGAAATGGAAGTTTGGAGCCTACGATGTATTTTCGTACAGAGAGCACCGTAACTGACAAAACCTTTACAATTCCGGGTCTTGTGCTTTACACGTTTTGGCTGTATCTTCATTGGGGAATCCTTATCCCCTTTCCTGAGGCATATTTAAATGTAACAAAAGAACAAAACGTTTAAGCCAGGGGAAAGGGCCTGGGGTTGGATGATCCAATCCCGGTAGGGTCTCATATGACCTGCGAAAGGAAACATTCCCCCTTTTTCCTACGATCTTACCAACCAACAATGGGTCGATTTCTGCGGCCGGGGGCCCTTCTTATAGAAATTCACATAACTAATTTAGTGGCAGGAGGAGTAAGGGGCAATTGGGAAATTGTGGCCGCTGCTAGGGGGTTGCTCGAGTGATAATCTGGCAACCACAACAGGGGCCCTTTTCCCCCAAAAATTTTTATAAAAAATATTTACTTTCTTTTCACGACGAATTTTCATATACATTCAGTGGCTAGGAAGGACAAGACTAGAGCTCCCAAAACGCCATCTATTTTCCGGGCATACGTAGACTTTCCTTTTTTCCTGCCTTCAACCAGCGAAATTTTAGCACGATTTTTAAAAGCCGGGGGTTTTAAAACCCGGGGAGTTTCCGGGGGGAAACCCCCCGCGCCCGGTCTGAGACCAGGCCCCGTGGATCGAGCCTGATCAACCAGGGGTGTTTCGTGGCGCACCAAACCCAAATACGAGCCCACAGCCCGGGGATCCGGAATGACTTAGGTCTTTCCATGCCCCCTTGAAGATGCCAGGGGGCGTTGGGAATCCCCCTTTTTGTGTGCGGGAGGAGTTGAACAGTCCGGCCCCCGACCTTTTTGTATGGGTTTTAACGTGCTATGACACCCCTGCTTTTATTGGGGGGGGATTTGACGTCTGCCAAGTTTTTGCTTTCGTAGGGGGTGTTTTTTGTGTGCAATTGGGTACACCCCTCTAGGTTTTTCCCCAGTGTATATAAATTTATCTCTCCCCCTGCTTTCCCGGGGGAATACAGGTTTTTGGGAAAACCCAACGCCCCCAAAAATTAGGTGTTTTATCCCCCGTTAGCGCGCCGTAAAAGTTCCTGAAATTTTTCTAGGTCGGAAATTTTTCCCCCTGCCTGAAAGGTGCTTTTTAGTGTGCACAATATCCACCCCTAAAAGAACAATGACCTGAAAAAGTTCATCAGGGTTTTGGGCCCCCTAGTTTTAAAGGGTTCTCATTATCCACCCGCATTTTTCTACAGATGCGATTGATACAAGTTTTGGGCCTTAAAGGGTGAGATCCTCCGACATGATCACCCCCCAGGTTTTTGACTTTGGGTGTTTCGCCTTTTTTGTGGCCAGAATTTGTTTTGTACTCTGATGAAGATTTAATTTCCTCTGTTTCCCATTTTAGAAATTAAAAATTTTCCATCGTTGAACTTCATATTGTTTTTCTGCAGCCCACTGAAAGTTGGTTGATGTCTGCCTGGGGCTTTGCATGTTGCAAAAGGAAGACACTGTCATCAGATTTGGGTGTCATCGCAAAGAAAAGTGTGTGGCTGACATCCTTTTCTATGTCGGATATAAGAGAGGAAAAAAGATGGGAGCGAGTACTTGGGCCTTTGGAACAGACCCCCAAGGAAGGGTTTCCCTTTATTTGGTGAGGGGCTTTATTTAGGGAATTGGTCTGTGCTCCCTTCCCCGAATTAACCTGGATCCTTCCCCATCCCCCCCCCCGGCGCTGTATAACCTCCGGGTTTAGCGTTTCCCCCTTTATTTTTAAAAATAATAATTGGAACGGCTTTTCACCCTACTGCCTCGGACTTTACTCTGTTTACGCACCCCTGTGTTTGTTAGTGAGGAATTTAAGATCCCGACCGACTTTTCCCGACTACATGGTGGAGTTCCGACCCAAAGTTCATTAACGAAGCCGGGCCTGGGAACTGGGGTTTACCTGGAGAAGTTTCGGGGGGTCAAGCCCCCGGGCCCGGTCTGTACCAGGCCTCCTGTGGGTCAGCGCTGATCAACCAGGGTGTTGTGCGGCTGCACGCAAACCAACTACACCACACCCGGTGATCAGAACGCCTTTAGGGCTTGCCAGTGCCACTTGAAAACTGCCAGGGGGCTGTTTGTAATTCCCCCCATGTGTGCGGGGGGCAGTTGAACGTCTCGGTCCCCTACACTTTTTGTTGGGCTCTTAACGTGCTAGTGACACCCCCGCTTTT